AAATAAATCTTGTCAACAGAAACCAAGTAAATATCTGTAATGTGCCCTGCCATTCCTGTATTGGCAACCCCCCCCGTGTTAGCTTCTAAAGAGTATTAAAACATTTTCACCATTAACAAGTTCAAAAGAAATTCCAAAGAATGACTTTGTTGTGGCACTATTAAATTTTTTAAGGTAAAAAGTTAAGTCAGCCATTGTGAGAAATGTCTACTTTTTCTCTTGTATATTCAATAATCAGTGCAGTTTTGTTTTTTCAATCATAGTTCGGTCTTTCATACCATATCTAATCTTATCAAAATAGTTTGTTTGACAGAAAAACTTCTATATTTTGTCCTTCTGTTTTGCTACCACAATGCCATCAGCTGACTCCTTTCCTTCGATTGCCTCCTTTTGATACTTTTTTAGTATTGATGGAAGATACTTTTGTTTTCTATCTCATGCTCCTAGCAAATATGCGTTACCTTTTCACGAAGTTTGGCAACAGGGAACTTGCGTGTAATACTATGATAACAAACAGTTTATGCTTGTGCTGACATATCCTCAAGTGGCTCATGGAGTATTCACCAGAGCCTGCTTAATGTATCGGATGTCCATAGTTTCTTTCAAGGTGAAGTGTTTTCAAGTTTGAAGGAAAACTTCAAGCTTACGTAAGCTTAATTCCATTCCAAGTTGATCTAATATGTTCTCCTTAAATGAAACAGTGTTCTCGCTTTCCAAAAGGCACAACGAGATAATGCGCATGGTCTGATTCTATTCGGAGCCAGGTCCCTGCTATATAGGGTCCAACCTGTCAGACTCCTCCTCCGTGGGTTATACAGTGGCTTGCAAAAATCAGTTCTACTAATTTTTGATCATACTTGTACAAGCACTAAAACCAATAAATCGACTGATAATTTCCCACAATGGTAACTTAAAACTAGTAGCCACATGACTTTTATGTTGTATTCCATCCACAAAGCCGAGCACAGATCCTTCGAAAAGATTGCCGTATATCTTTTGAATCTTGGTGCTGGTGCTTGTAACAAGGCATCCTGCACGACTTGCTGGGGCTGCTGGCGAAACTTATAGGCAGTCAATGTGTGTAAAGCCAATAATGGTATATCTCCATCGTGAAATTAATTTCTCTACTCTTTCTTTTTTGCAAATTTGCCCCTTTATTTTATGAAAGAAACAATTCCTCTGAAAGAAATTTGTTTGATTTCTAAAAGATAAAAATTCTGATACTCTAAACATAAGTAGTTATCAGTTAAAAAGATATTTATTCATATCCATTTTTGCATATAAGATAGTGCTAAATGTTTTATTTGAAGGAAAAAGACCAAAAAGCCCTTCTTATAAAAATCAAGCTTACATCAAAAATTATCTTTTTCTTTTATATTCCTACTGTCATACACTATGGGGAAAGTTATTGTAAGCTCAGAAAAATGGTACTTTTCAACAGAGTCTTATTGCTAGGCCCTGGTAACAAAAAAAGTGTAAATCTTGTTCCTATGTATAGAAATTACTTTCTTTAACATCTTGTGTAGTCCAGAATCCTCATTTCGTTAGTCCCTTGATACCTAAAAAGTGGATTATGAAAAAACTGTCTGCCTGTAAACAATTCTAGTAGCTAAACCAATAGCAGGGTATTCACCAAAAATTGATATTCCCTGAGTGATCTCATGTCAGGCCCCTTAATTGAAATAATATTTAAATTTTTTGGGTTACATTGGATCACAACAGAAATCCTCAAATTTTCTTAAAAGATTCAATTTTTTTTCTGATAGAGCAAAATTGCTTAAGAAAGGTATAGGTTACATTTTGTGAACTCTTGTACTCCTTAATCTGTATCTGATCTCATCCTCAAATCTCTCCCTGTGTACCTGCAAAGTCTCTACATTGACCTCTCCAAATCCAAATCCTCTTTCTTAACCCCCTCGTCCTCAAACCAACTCTCTGGGCCTTGTAGGATGGATTTCATAAGTATAATCTTCGTAGAAGTGCTCCCCTCTAACTCTTCACTTAGATTTTTTTTAAAATCACCAACTCTAAACCTTTTAGTTCCTTGAAAGATGTCATATCTCCCTCATTTGAATAGACAGTACTTGTTAATTAGATACACATTTTTATTCAGCACTCCCTATTGACAGCTGAAGAATATAAATGTTTGCCCTGTGTACTTTTGTTGCAAGATAAATTTGAAGATTTTGTTGAAATGCTCATTGCATTTAGCCTACGAACTAGTAAACCATTAGTTTTGGCTGTTCAATGCGGTGTTACTTGATGTTTTGCCCCTAGTTGACTTGAGCAAAACCATCTACTTAACACTCTTGATACATAAGTAACTACTTCTTTCCTTGCTGACTCCACCTGCCAGTTGCTGTCAAGGGTTTCCTTGATATATTGGAAAAAATCTTAGTTAGTCATCCAGCAAACATGTAAAAATAATTGTTGGAAGCGCTTTAAAATCATTAAAGAATCTATACTCTAGTCAGGCAAAAACAATTCAAGACCATGTATACCATTGAATTTCCTTCATTTCATGAAATCAGGTTACCAGATTGCACTGGTGAAGCTGTTGCCAACCAAAACCCTGTTAAATTGTTGCCTAAACTTTGCATTTTTCTATAAGATGGCTGATGACATTAGATCATTGTTAGCATCTCTTAATAAAATGTATCTTTTTAACAGTGAAGGACATTCTGAGGCCATGAGCCCTGGTTCCACAAGGAGGCTCACAAAGAGTTCAGAAAATATTCATTTATGGCCAGAGTGTGTACAATGATCTAATGTCATAGCCCCTACAGAAAAATCGTAAGAACATATTATAATTGAATTTGAATTCAAACGACAGACGATCATCACTCACATCATTATTGGATATTCATCTTATTTTTAATTGATTTCCTTCTTCTCCCATATACGATTTTTCTGAAACACTTACTATTGATTGTTTTGTCATTATCTGGATTTTGTCCTCTTGTGTGTCCTGAGGAAGTAGATATGCCAGTAATTTTAATTGTAAACAAATTTAACCATTTGTTTCTTGTTTTTTAATTCCCTTTCCTTCCTTTTTTTTTTTTTTCTGTGGGCCCCCCCCCCCCCCGTGTTAGCTGTCTAAAGAGTATTGAGACATTTACCATTAACAAGTTCAAAAGAAATTCAAAGATGACTTTGTGGCACTATTAACTTTTTTTAAGGTAAAAAGTTAGTAGCCATTTGTTCAGAAATGTCTACTTCTTGTTTTCTCTTGTAGTATTCAATAATCGATGCAGGTTTGGTTTTTCAATCATAGTTCGGTCTTTCATACCATATCTAATCTTATCTAAAATATGTTTTGTTGACAGAAAGAACTCTTATTTTGTCCTTCTGTTTTGCTACCACAATGCCATCAGATGACTCCTTTCCTTCTATTGCCTCCTTTTGATACTTTTTTTAGTATTGGATGGAAGATACTTTGTGTTTTTCTTCAATGCTCCAACAAATACGTTACCTTTTCAAGGAGATGTTTGGCAACAGGAACTGCTGTGTAATAGCTATTGATAACAACAGTTTTGCTTTTGCCGACATAATCCTCAAGTGGCTCATGGGAGTATCACCAGAGGCCTGCTTAATGGTATCGGAGTAGCTTGAGATTCCATTCCAAGTTGATCGTGATGATACTCCTTAAATGGGAAACAGTGTTCTTGCTTTCCAAAGGCACACAGGATATTGCGGATGGTCGTGTTCTATTCGTGAGGGACCCTGCTATTAGGTCCAACCAGTCAGACTCTCCTCCGTGGGTTTACGTAGGCTGCAGAAAATCAGATCTACTAATTTTTGATCATACCTTGTACAAGCACTAAAACCAATAATCGACTGATAATTTCCCACAAACTGGTAACTTAAACTATAGGCCACATGACTTTTATGTTGTATGTTCCATCCACAAGCCGAGCCACGAGATGCCTTCGAAAGATACCGTATATCTTTTTGAATCTTGGGGCTGGTGGCTGTAACAAGGCATCCTGCACGAGTGTGCTGGGGCTGCTGGCGGAAATATGGCAGTCAATGTGTTAAAGCCATAATGGTATATCTCATCTGTGAAATAATTTTCTCTTACTTCTTTTCTTTTTTGGCAATTGTGCTTTATTTTTATGAAGAAACGAAGTTCTGTGAAAGTAAATTTGTTGATTTCTTAAAAGATATAAAATCTGATACTCTAAACATATAGTAGTTATCAGTTAAAAAGTATTTTTCATATCCATTTGCAGTTTAAGATAGTGTAAATGTTTTTATTTGAAGGAAAAAGTACAAAAAGCCTTTCTTATAAAAGTCAAGTTACACAAAAATTTCTTTTTCTTTTTAATTGCCTACTGCATACACGGTATAGTATTGTAATGCTGCAGGGAAAAATAGTACTTTTTCAACAGAGTCTTATTGCTAGGTCCTGGTAACAAAAAAGGGGTAAATCTTGTTCCTATGTATAGGAAATTACTTTCTTTAACATCTTGTGTAGTCAGAATCCTTATTTGGTTAGTCCTGATACTAAAAAATTGGATTATGGAAAAACTGTCTGCCTGTGAACAATTCTAGTAGCTAAACCAATAGCAGGGTTTCACCAAAATTGATATTCCCTGAGTGATCTTGTGTCATGGCCCCTTAAATTGGAAATAGGTATTTTAATTTTTTGGGGGTTACATGGATCACAAACATGAATCCTCAAAATTTTCTTAAAAAGGATTCAATTTTTTCTTCTGATAGAGCAAAAGATGCTTAAAGAAATGGTGTTAGGTTACATTTTGTTGAACTCTTGTATCTCCTAAATCTTGTATCTTGAATCTCTTCCTCAAATCTCTCCTTGTACCTCAAGTCTCTACATTGAACCTCTCCAAATCAAATCTCTTTTCTTGAACCCCTCGTCCTCAAACCACTCTCTGGAGCCTTGTAGATGGTATTTCATAAGTATAATCTCGTAAATTTCGCTCCCTCTAACTCTTTCACTTAGATTTTTTTCTTAAAAATCACCAACTCTAACCTTGTTAGTTCTGAAAATTGTCTATCTCCCTCATTTTGAATGAGACAGTACTTGTAATTAGATACACATTGTTTTATCAGACTCCCTATTGACAACTGAAGAATATAATGTGCCCTTGTACTTTTGTTGCAAGATAAATTTGAAGATTTTTTGAATGCTTATTTCATTTAGCTACGAACTAGTAAACCATTAAGTTTTGGCTGTTCAATGGGTGTTACTTGATGTTTTTGCCCCTAGTTGACTTGGAGCAAAACCATCTACTTAACACTCTTGATACATAAGTAACTACTTCTTTCCTTGCTGACTCCACCTTGCCATTTGCTGTGCTAAGGGTTTCCTTGTATGTTGGAAAAAAATCTTGTTAGTCAATCCAAGCAAACAATGTAAGAAATATTGTTGGGAAAGCTTTAAAATCATTAAAGAATCTATACTCTGTCAGCAAAAACAAATCAAGACCATTATACCATTGAATTTCCTTCATTTCAAATATCAGGTACCAGATGCACGTGGGGAGAACTGTTGCAACAAAACGTTAAAATTTGTTGCCTAAACTTTGATTTTTCTATAGTGGCTGATGACATTAGATCATTGTTACATCTCTTAATAAAATGTATCTTTTTAACAGTGGAAGGGACATTTCTGAGGCCACGAGCCCTGTTCACAAGGAGGCTCACAAATTAGTCAAAAATATTCATTTTGTAAGGCAGGAGGTGTTACAATGATCTAATGTCATAGGCCCCTACAGAAAAATAGAAGAACATATTATAATTGAATTTGAATCAAACGACAGACGATCATCACTCACATTCATTTATTGATATTCATCTTATTTTTAAGTGATTTCCTTCTCCCATTATGATTTTCTGAAACTTTACTATTGATTGTCTTTGTCATCTATCTGGATTTTGTCTCTTGTGTGTCTGAGGAAGTAGTATGGCAGTAATTTAATTGTAAAATTACATGTTGGTTTTTAATGTCCATCATTTGTTTTTCTAAAAGTTTTTTTATTTTTTATTTTAGCTGGAGTGAATGTGGGGAATATCATTGTTTCGGCCAACACTAGTAAAGACCCGTATATTACTTTGGAGGAAGATGAAGATGAAGAGGATAGTGAGCGGGAGGATGATATTATACGTCCAAATGATAATCTTGTTCTTGTGGGACATGTTGAAGGAGACGCAACCGTTTTGGAAGTGTATGGTAAGATGCAACTAGTTTCAATGAAATGACTATGCTGTGGGTTGAATTACAAGTTGAGAACAGTCCGGTTGCAAGTAGTCTTATTTGAGTACTACTGGTTCTCTGTTTAATTTAATCTAATTTCCCAATTTGGAATATAAAAATATAAAATCTATAGTTAATAGAAAGTTGATCCAGTGATTCTATTGCAGTGTACGCCCGTGGCATTACGTAGAAATATCCCAGGAAGAAAAAATAGATCTTGCCTTAACGCTGTCTATTATTTGCTATTTTCATTTTAATTAATTTCAACTTGGATTAATCAATCTCATTTCATGTACATTTGCTCTGAAACCTACTAATATAATGAAATATATGATTGTACATTTATATTTTTTTGGTCCCTTTTTTTAACTCTGGTGAACCATAATAAAGTGGGTATCAAAATTCTATCATGTCATTTAATTCATTATTTTATTCATAAAAGAGAGAAGTTTGTCTCGACATTTTGGAGACTGTTCTGTTTCACTTCTGAAGAATCCTGCACTCTCAATTTTTATATTAGTATAATTTTTTTGACAGTATGAAAAAATGCAATCGAGGTAGTGGTAATGGTTCAATACTGTCACCATTAATTACTATTTTAAACTTTAAATGCTTTTTACTCTAGAATCCATGATTTTTACCCTTGCTTTTGTTTTCTTTTATGAAATTCGTAGTTTATAGTTTTCACCTATTCTCTGAAATTGATGGGCACTAACTTCAAAGAACTAAAATAGGCATTTGTATCTGAAGTAGCTTTGAGCTTAGAGACAAAAACTTGATAATGGGGAAAAAATTGTGAATCTTTTGAAAATGAAAAGTGTAGGTTTATTGTGCATGTTGAGGATTATTTTACTTAATGTTACCCTCGAGTAAATTACCATTAAAATCTGAAGTACATTTTTAGTATATCTTCTTTTATATAGTTTATTTTAAATAAAATGTAAATTAAAATAAATGCTGGTATTTGGGGACAAAATAATTAAAGAAATAAGGGTATTCTAGTGAATATGGATGTGATTTGTACGCATTTTCAATTTTTTTGTTAAACATTATCCCATTTGAAGAAAAATTACTGTCAATGACTTGAGATCTTTAGAAGTAATTTATTTGCATATTTTGCAAATAAACCTACGTGTAAAGTTGTCTGCGTATATGCCCTTCTGTCTCAGAAAATTCTCAGAAGGCTAACATTAATTTCTCAGTCACTCATGTTTCAACACTTCACACATTGAAAAGAATATTCTCCCAAGTGTGACACAAGTCACCCATGTGCAACATGTATTGGAGCTGAACTATTGCTGCCCATGGGTGGATTTGCTCATCCCAGGAAGCACTTCCGTTAGTTTTCATTTACAAGTGAAACATGTTTTGTCAAGGTTTTCAAGTTTTGAGTTATTTGATTTTTGTATTCTAAATTTTTTTAAAAATATTGATAAATGAACATTAAATGCATCTCGGATCATTTTCCTGAGAAATGAGTACAGCTTTCAAAATTTAGGTCTTGACTTCCTGTTGTTTGTAAGCGTATGATGAATATTATTTTTGTATCTTATTTGCTGTTCACCTACATTATTAAACCTTTTTGCTTATTTTATTTTTAATTGTATTAATGTTACATTTTTTTACTTATGAATATGTGCTTATTTCACTGTTTTTATTGCTTGTAAATTGCAGCCTCACTGTGTTAAGTCACGTTAACAAATTAGGTTCTGGATACATTTCTACTGCATTTCTTTGACTATTTTTAATTACCTGCTAGTATTTGTAGGTTTTTAGTTTCTGATTACAATGTTTCTTTTTTATAGTTTACAATGAAGAAGAAGAATCATTGTACGTGCACCATGATGTGCTGCTTCCTTCCTTTCCTCTGTGCATTGAATGGCTGGGTTTCGAACCAAAATCTGGAGGAGCACCAGGTATGTCCACTATTAATATATTTCTCAGGGTGCATGTATGAGGTGCATAGTTAGTGTGCGCATGAGACATTTTTTTTGGTGAGAGGGTGGAAATCTTTAAAAGACATAGGGCGTCCCTTACTAATAAGTTTGTGAGGTTTTCACACATGTAAACAACATCTGAAATTTTGAAAGGTTGAAAAATAACTGAGTCTCGTTTTCTTTGATAAATATCAAAAATGTTTGTATTTTCTGATCAGTTTATGATCGTTTTTTGTTTTGCCAGCTAAATCTCATTAGTATATTAAATACATGACTACCATCACATTACTCTCCCTTGCATGAACATTAATGTTGGAGGTTATTAAACTTGTTTTTGAAACATCAATGGGTTTTAAGTGATGCATTACTGATACAAGATTTTTTGTTTGAACATGATGATTTCAAACATTGATGTTTTATTGGAGATGTTGGATCCCTACTGTTAGGCATTACATTGTGAGGAGAGGATCAGTGCAGCTCAGCCATATGTATTTTTTCCACAAACTTACAAGTGGGCAAGTAGCCTCAAAATACTTCCCTTATCTCCAGCTGATCTGCTTTCATAGTTCTGATGATGTTGGATGAAGATCTGGAAAATACTAAAATTATTTTATCGTGTACAAGAAAAATAGAACTCTTGAGTTTTACATTGGATGACAAGGTGTTTGGAACTTTCATTAAATCTTGTCTTGTGCATCTCAAAACCCATGTCAGAACTTGGAGAAAACTCAGTTTAATTTTTTAACCCTGTTTTCAAAGAACCACAAACGTTAATTCTAAGCCATTAAATGTCTCCTGTGTTTCATGTTGGACAACAAAAATTGGTTAGAATGTCCATCAAAACAGTTTGCAATTCAACATTCTTGTCATGGCTGTGTAAATGCATGCACTTTAGTTTGGATGTACTGCAACTTGTTGGGCGAGTGGATTTTAATTAAGTCAATAATATGGTAATTTTTTTACCTTTATCTGTAACTTGTTGGTAAATCAAGAACACTTTGCACACTATCGAGACCTCATACAATTGTGGTTCTACCATTTTTGTTTGTGATGTGAATTTTTCATTTGAATTTAATTTTTTAAGAAAAATTGTGAATTTTTGCCGAATTCGCCATGTTAAGTGTTGTGCTTGCGGACACGATCTCCTAGAAACTTCCATTCTCAGCAACTAATGATCATAAATGGATCCCACACCACCTCTAAAAAAATGTGTTTGTCTCTGGTGTTGGGTTTCAAGAGAAGAAGTGATTCCAGTACAGCTAGGTGCACTCTAGGCTGTGAAGTTCCTTGCTCTTATATGCACGAGGAGCTACGTCCTTGTGCATCATAGACCAAAGACCAAACGGTTGAGGAATTGCTCCGATTCATCAAAATAATGTTTGTTTGTGACTGCAGCTATAGAGATAGACTCCAATTTTCAGCCAGCCGCTGAATTTGACTCTTAATTGAGTTTTGGAATGGATAGTTTTCAGTCTTACTTGCTTGCAATGTGTGTTGAAAATCTGAACGTACGAACAAAGAAGTTTGCAATTCACTTAATCTGCAGTTGACCCATTATCTTCCTACCGGGTAACTTTTGCAATCTTCAAAATTCCAGAGGTTTTAATTTTACTTGGCATGTTTTAGAGCAGTTTTTGAGAAAATATTGGGTATACTTTTTAAAATTGTCTTCATTTCCCTCAAAAAAGCATGAAAACTATTCATATGTATAAGATTGTAATTATCATTATTTAAAGATCTAATTTTAAACAACAGATTTCATAAATAAAATATCACCATCTTAAATAATGTAGTTGTAGGAGGGACCTCAAAAAATTTTAACATTTAAATTTCAGAAGTTTTACTGAAAACATGCAACATTTTAAAAGTGTTATGATGTATTGAAACAATTTCAAGATAATTGATGCCATTTTTGAGAACATTTTGTAAATGCCCTAAGATTTCGTGTAAACTATCCCTAAAAATTGTTTACAGATGGTTTCCCAGACCTACAAAAAACCTTCTTGATGTTGTTCACATAATAAACCATGAATGACCACCAAAACTTGTTTTTCCATCAAAATCTCAACTTCAAATTTTTGTGTGATTACATAATTTCTTGGTGTTCCTTTCTCTGTATTACCTTTCTGTATACCTTTGTAATACCTTTCTCTGTATTATGTATGTATGTATGTAAAAATCATGTTAGAGCTTAGAGCAGAAACATTGTTAAATTATCAATAATATACAGATGATAGATTTTGGCGTAAAAAATATTGTTTTATGTGGCAGTTGCACAATGTCAAAATATTTCATACAATGGAATGATGGATATTGCTTAAAAAGCAAGTAAGAATGTCCAACATTTTACATTACCCAAGGGGTGAGCAACTAAGGACAGGTAATAAGAGATCTATCAGTTGTTTATTTATGATTTGATACATTTTTACAATAATGCACAAAACTGAGAACTGGTTTGAACAATAGAAATGGCTTTGATTGCAATTAGTTGCGATTCAGTATTCCATTTTACTGTTGCTACTTAAATGTCTCAGGAAAAATTTTTAAATGGGTGTGCATTTATTAACGAATTGAGCTGGTATTTTTTTCTGTCTGTAGGAAACTTGTGTGCTGTGGGTACCATGTCACCTGTAATTGAAATCTGGGATTTAGATTTAGTGGATTGTATTGAAGCTGTCTGCAAACTTGGGAGGAAAAAAAGCAAGAAGAAAGGAATTAAAGCTGTTGGTCATAAGGACGCTGTTCTTGACATATCCTGGAATACCATTTTCCCGTGAGTTTCTAAAATCATGGGTTAATTTGATAGTGTAATATCAGATGACTGATAAGTGATAACTCTTATTTACAGTTTTAAACTGATTTTTACAGTTTTCTTTTTCAATGAGATAAAGATTGTGTGAAAAAGACATGTTCTGTACCAATTTGTGCTTTGCCTTTATATTTGTTCTTGTTTTTCAACACTTTGATCAAAAAGTCCGTGTTTTGAAGTACAACTTTTGGTCTTGGTTTGCTTGTTGAATTAGACAAATCGTTATTTTGGTGGTTTATGCCCAAGGGCATTGTTGACACAACATAATCCTTGCCCACAGTTTCCGTGATAATGGCCCTCTCAGCCTGCCTATCTGTGAATAGATGGTTAACATCAAAATATTGCTGAGACTATATTTGCTACCAGATTCATTATCTTCTTGAAAGCCTTTTCTTCCTCACTGGTTGAAGACCAGCTGACATCGTTCCTTGTAAAACCTCTCAAGATGCTTGTTTCCTTGGTCAGATGCATGGTGAATCAACGGTTAGTCTGGACCTTACTGGAGTGTAGAAATCTGTTGATCCCAATCCAAAGTGGGTTTAAAAAAGCGGTCAACCTTGGACCACCTCGTTACGTTGGCAAGAGCAATCTCGACATCGTTCGTTTTGAGGCAATATCTTGTGGCCATATTATTTGATATAGAAAAGGCCTATGACACCACTTGGAGGTATTGCATTCTGCGAACCCTCCACTCCTGGGGATTTAGGGGGAAGGTCCCCTTATTCCTCCAGAACTTCCTTTCGAACAGATCCTTCCCTGTTCGCATTGGTTACAGGCAGTCACCCTCCAGGAAATGGTATCCCTCAAGAATCGTCGTGAGAGTCACTCTGTTTGCCGTCGCCATAAATGGTATAGCGTCGACCGTTTGAGAACCTGTAAGGATGTTGCTGTTTGTGGAAGGTGTTGCAATCTTTTGTACGTCCAGTAGCATTAGTGTGATCCAGAGGAAACTTCAATTGGTGCTTAAGAAGCTCCACAGGATTGAACTTTTCTCCTTCTAAATATACTGGTGTGCATTTCTGCAGGATATACCACTTGCTTAGCACTCCAGTCCTTTACTTGGGAGGAAATCAGCTTCCATTCGCTGAATCTGCCAGATTCCTGGGACTCATGTTGACAAATCCATCACGTGTCGCACTCATATCCACAGACTGCAAACCTGATGTCTCTGCCCCCTTAATCTTCTTCACATGCTGAGTGGTACATCATGGGGAGCCAACTGCGTTTCTCTATTGTGGTTATATAGAGCACTCATTCACTCGGTTTTGGAATATGGTAGTGAAGTGTATAGCTCTACAACTCCCTTCACTCACTGACCCATCAACAACATACACCATGCAGGTATTTGCCTCTCAACAGGTGCAGATCCCTCCAGCTGAATCGAGTGCCTTCTAGCTGAGGCTAGAGAGCCATAATGCTTAAAAAGAGGGTGGGATATTCTATTGGCATCTTATGGTGCTAAAGTGTCAGGACTCTAGCCATTCTTGTTGCCAAATAATTATCCATCTTGAATACAAGTCCACCTCTTTGAACATTGCTTCCTCAGCCCCCATGTATTAGATTGTGAAATCTAATGTTCCGCCCCTCTATACTTGAAAAAGTAATCTCTTAATTCTTGTGAGAAGTGCCCTGCAAAAGTTTTGTTCGTTTTATTTCAGGCTGTTTTTTATGCTTTATGGCAACTTGTATTTATTATTTTCAAATGCTGTATTCACTGTTCCTGCCAAAGTGCAATGGGATTAAATATGCTACAGTATGCCATTTCCAATCTTCCAAGATTAGCTACTAGATATATTAGTAATATTGATTGTACTGGTACATCCTTTGATTCATATCTTTGTTTAATGTTTGTTGTTAGAAATTTATAATTATTTTATGAATCTTCATATAATGTGTGAATTTGATAAAATTAATGTATTTTGTATTTTTTATTTCCATTATTTTTATTGGTATGGTGTGCTTATCATAATAAGTTGTATACCATTTTCGTTTTGCAGACATATACTAGCAAGTGGCTCTGTGGATCAAACTGTTCTACTCTGGGATTTGGACAACTGCCTTCCTGCCTCAAAATTTAAATCATTTACTGAGAAAGTGCAGTCTCTTAAATGGCATCCTTTCGAGAGTCAGACATTGCTTACTGGATGCTGTGATGGGTATGGCTTTATTCTAAATAATTTATATATTGAAGAAAAAGGAAAATGTGAGACAAATATAGGGAAAATTATATATGTTGATTCAGTGCATTAAATGGTTCATAAAATGCACTCTTAATTAATTAATTAGCATTAATTAATTCACAGAATGCATTTTAATTAATTAATTTAGAAGATCTAGTGACAAGACGTGTATGTGAATAGAGTGAGAAAATTAGTGATACACAAGATAAAAGAATTGGACAAGGGAAAGAAGGAAAGGAGGACAAAAAGAAACCTAGAGAGAGTTCATAAAGATAAAAGTAATAGATTATGAAGAGAAGGGTAAGAATTTAAGAAAAATAGTTCAACAAATTCAGGAGGCAAAGATTCAAAAAGTAAAGAATGCTGGAAGTGAAGAAATGAGTCAGCACGATAAGCAGTGAGAAAGCGAACCACAAAAACAAGAGGAAAGAACATGCCAGCTATATACTGAAACAACAAAGAGCAGTGGCAGTAAATGCAAGTACATTCCACGCAAAATGCACAGAAGTTCCAGAAGGTGATTTAAGATCATTACAGAAGGTGTTAACAAAAACCGATAAGGTTGTGTCAGGATTGTGAGAACACACTACAAAGAAATAAGAAAATAGACAAATTCAAAAAGGAGATAGAAGATACACAAAAAACATTAGCAGCGTTTTTGAAAGTTGACATGAAACATTGGATAAGTTATGAGCTAAAAGAAATATTAAAGAACAATCTAAGTAAACAGGAAAGCAACTGAGCAGAGAAATATACGGACATGAAAGAGAAAGTGAAATCAAAACACCTAAAGCAAAACAGATGCACACTTACACACATGAAACATGCAGGAGAAGGGAAAGACACAAGCAATGTAATTCCTGAAAGAAAGGAAATAACAGACATGACATCAAATAACAAAAAGGAAACAATTGAAGATGACTCAAATGAAAAGGAAGATGAGAGAAATATTGACTTTCTAATTCTATCAGTAACAAAAAAAGAAAAGCAGTGGGACTAAACAAATGCAAAATCACATTCTAATATATTCAGGAGTAAAGCAGGAAGAAAGAGCAACAGCAGGAATTGCAATAATGATACACATTAATTGGAAAACCAGTATTGAAGTTATATAAGTTTATTTCCCCAAGAATAATAACTCTGCATCACTGAAAGGAAATTAAATGTCATAGGAGTCTATGTACCAACAGAAGGAAAACAAAGAGGAATCCACATAATTTTACAGTGACTTTCAAGCTATAGTAAACTCTTCTTTTCACTGGACACTTTCATCCTTTTATTATCCCCATTTCTTCATCAATTGCCTACTCTGTATACTGAATACCCACCCTAGTGTTTGCCGTGCATGGTTGCATAAGTTACAAATTTAGTTTTTGTCAGGAGTCTGTGACTATTCCACTCATGCAATTAAAACCAAAGGTGTTTAACTATACATATAAAATGCCCCAATCAGGGTGGTATATCTCAAAAAAAAAAATATCACTTTTTCTATCGTAATTTTTTTACCATTTCTTCTTACTGGCCAATAATAAGCTGCAATTCATCTATCTTAGGAGGCGGTATCGCTGTGTTGATGTGCATTAAACCTCATGTGTTCTATATTATAATCTTTTTTTATTTTAACATGCTTTCTGTTATTTTCAATGTTTGGTGCATTTTGGAACCGTTAGACGTAATTTCATTCGTGGCCTATTCGTTCATTCGTGACCTATGAAACTTCTTTTTTTTCCAGTGGTGCCCGAGTGTTTGATTGTCGTACTGAAGACTCCTTCAAGCTCTGGAAAGTGGATGGAGAAGTGGAGCGTGTGCTGTGGAATCATTTTAATCCCTTCCACTTTTTTGTAAGTTTTTTAATGTATGAGTTTGTATTTGTATATTTATTTTTAATTTCTTTTAAAATTTTTCATAACACACATAAAGGATGTTTTCTTACTTCATTCACATATTTTAAAATTCAGTTCAATGTGTAAACATTTGCAAGTTGAGATTCAAGTCATTAGAATTATCATTTAACAAGACTAATCTCTTTCGTTCTCTGGCTCTTTTCTCTTTGACTGCCAAATACATACCCAGTGGTTGTCCCCATTGCGGCATTGCCTTCCCACTCTGACTTTGCTACATGGAATGTTCTAATGGATCAAGTTGATACTGCTGCTGATTGATCCAAATTTATATACAGAAGGAGGGACAACATACACAATAACAATGATAGTGGCCTGCAGCATAAAAAATGTGGCTATCGACTGAGTGGAAAATGGGGTCCCCAAGTATTTATTTATTTATTAATATAAGGTCTTGAGTCCGATACAGCAATGTTTTATGTAGTGGGTAGACTTACATATAGGTAGTGAGGGAAAAATATTTTACTGAGTAAACATATTCATATGAAATGTAGATTAAATTATAGCTTAATTGTAGCTTGACATCATTAAACATCATCATTAAATCATATTTATAAGAAGTGCAGTTTAAATCTTAGCTTAATAAAATTCACAACAGTGTAATAAACAAACGATTAATTTTTATAGGGTAACAAAAATATATTTTTGCAAAAGAGTATTTTAGGTATAAAAATATAGTACATTTTAAAGTCTCAATGAACCCATTTAGTCTCACCTATATTATGTCAAGGTTATAATAATTGAAGACTTTAAAGAATCTTGAAATCCAATTCTTCTGGTGAAGTTTTTCAGTGTAAATGTACTAAAATGTCCAAATGACTGAGTGGGAACTCGAAGCCTCAGTCAAATAATGGCAGACTATCTATAGAGCCATGAATCAGTTTGTATAGGAACATAAGATCATTATAGGTCCTTAAGAATTTAAGTTTTGGTATATTTTATGCCAGTTAGATTCCTGTGTGATTATGATCTTAAAACAAATCGGAAAGACCCATTCTGGGTGCAAGGATTCTAAAGAACGTGATGTACTGTTTCAAGTCTGTGTAATTCAAAATGAGGCGACCAAACTGCAGAGACAGAGTAGGTGAGATATAACAAGGGAAGGTTTAGTTTTCAGGGCAATAATACTTTTATAAGTACCAAAAATTGTGTGTCATGAAATGGCAATATTGAAGTATCTTTGTTCCTTGTTGCATGATGTCAGCTGTGACTCAAGAAGCAAACAGAGTATGTGAATATAGCTGTAATTACGGGTAAGAGATGTTGTGGATTAACATAATCAAATATTTGCATTGTTGAAGCTTCTGAGTAGACTGTGTCATGTATTCTGCAGAGAGATATGTTTCATTGATGGCATTAAAATTTGCTCAATTGGAGTCATTACGGGAAGTAGTGGTTTCCTAAAGTGCTTTCGTATCCATCTCCTACTCTTCTTGTGATTCTTTGAATAAATACTCATCATCAAATAAATCACGTAATGCTGTATCATTATAACTTGTTTTTGTGATGGGGTCCCTGGCTATTGTCAGATTTTTCTTTAGAATGGGATGATTTGACAGCTAGTGCTGGCAACACATTTGACGATTCTGTGGTCGTTGTGTCCTTGAACTTATTAGACTCTCCTTCCTCCATTCGTTTGTTTGCAGTTGGCTAACTTGTAAATGCTTACAACGCTCCCGAAATTAGGAAGTGCAGAGCTTACTGTTCTTCTGTAAAAATTCTTTCTTCTTATAAAAATTACATTGAATTTAGTTTTTATGTGATAAGTATTATGTTTGTTTTAAAGTCGAGTCTTGAATGTGAGATGCATACTCGTGACAATGCACGTGTTTACTTCTCTGAAGTACATGTGATGTTCACTTGTTTCGCGAACTGTCACTATCCCATTCTTAAGAAAATCGTTCTATATGTGGGAGTAACTGGGAACTAAGTAGCTGCCAGACAGCAAAATTGGCCAGGAGAAAACCAGAGATAGACATTGTTATGTTGCTGACAGATACATAGAACGAAATCACTTAAAAAAAAAAAAAAAAATGGCACGATTTCCGTATTTGTTGAACTCTGAACTTTTGAAAATTGCAAAAGTTACAAATATGAGAAAGTGTGAGCTGTTGTAGTGCTACTAATTAAGCAGTGTAATTAGGTATTGAATATACATATTATAGTCATGTAGTAAAATTTTGGTACTAGTAAACCAGTCATGGGTCCCTGTCCACATACATTGCAAAATAAACTTTAAATTATTCAATTATAGCTCCTTATTGGATATAGCGAACTCAGGAAATAGAACTCGCAGGAAAAGAAAACTTAGTTTCAGTGTTGTGTATTTCCATAACCTTAAAGTTTGCTGGCATCTTGTGTGTAATTTTTGTAGCATTTACTGCTAACGAAAAGGACCTAGGATATGCGCAGTGAGGAAATTGCTTCAGCTTATCTTCGGCAAATCTGTTGCTCCTCATGACTTCATCAAAGTAGACTGTGAAATGTCTTTCAGAACTGTAGGAACAAATCGATTACAACTAGTGTACAAATGAAGAAAGTGTTCCTACTGGGCAAGAGTCATTTGAAGGTATAAACATGTACTTAGATGTTTTGAGAATGTAGATAACCTACTATGATCAAAGTTATCTGCACTCAGCAAACAGTATTATTAGAAAATTATTATAAAGGTAAATGAAGATAATGAAATTTTGAATTTGCAGTCTTTGGATATTTTATTGATTGTCCAAAATAATAAAATTGTTCATCCTGGAGTAACTAATTTGTTTTAGAAATAAGATAGAGACAAGCTAAAATGTGTGTCCCCAGAGGTTCACTCCAAACAGAATCAACGATGTGTATAGAGTTCAAAGTATGTGTATATATGTTCAAAGAGTTGTAATTTGAAGAAATCCTTAATAATCCATACTGTTGTTTGTTCCATAGGTGAGTACAAGTACGGGTTATATCAACTATATTGACTGCCGTTGTGATGAACCTGTCTGGACAATATATGCTCATACAAAGGAAGTGACAGGTAAGTGATAAATTGTTCAGAGCATAAATTTTATGTTTATAGAAATTATATTGATTTCAATAGAAACATTAGCAGAATTCTGAAGTAGTTCAATGAGTTGCTCATCATGTACACCATTACCGTCATCTTGTGGTTTATGGTTTTTATTATAATATTAATCACTTATTAAATAATAATTGTAGCAAAATAAGTTGATATAAACTTATCCCACAACTATGTTTCAAATCATCAGTTATCACAGTTATTATTATTACTAGTTATCACAGCATCCAAACACCACATTCATCAAAATGTCCAAAATACTGTTATCTCATTTATCCCATCATAGCTGACGCATCCCCTGCTCCTTCATTCATTTGGCTTCACAATGGTCCAGACTAATCTTGAATTAATTAACGGGCTCCTTGTTAAACCACCTTGTGGGGAGAGCATTTCACTCTTTTTCTATTATAATAAAATGTGGTTGATGGCTCTTGCCACTCCTTTCGCAGCTTCATATTATTACCTCTGTCTCTGATCTGCAGCTCTTGTGAATAGTCGCAAATTGGGGTACATTGTGGAGCTTATATAGGATCTTGTAGGTCTCCTCCATATTTCCTCTTTTCCTCCTCTGTTCTGAGGTGAATCTCATGATACCTATCTTCGTATGACAATTGACAATGTTTTCTCTAGATTTTTGTGAAATATCTTTGACTGTTCTCTAAATGGAGAAGGTTGTTTAGAGAAGGTAGAGCAGGGGCTTGCTCTCACTTGCCAAACTTCCTAAAGATAACGTATTCAGGTAGCCCTGGCCCTTCTCAGCTAGTTCCTCAGTTATTACCAAGAAGCCACTGTGATTCTTGTATGCTTAGCAGAATGATGGTTAATGATAGTATAGGGTAGGGAAGGAATAATGGGCCATACTGTTGGAATTCATGTGACAGGGAAAACGGGTATACCCTGAGAAAACCTGCCCTAAATCTGCTGTTCACCACAAATGTCTCTTGGAATCACCAGAGATCAAACCTGGACAGTAGCATTGGAGGGCTACTCCATTGTTGCCTCAATTGTTATATTATATTTTTATTGACTGTGTTAAGACTATAGTATTAGTATGTAATGTAATCAGCTTTCTGGTTTTCAATGCTAGTAACTGGGAAAACAGATTTTGAAGTTTATGGTGAATTGCTGGGTATAGTATTATAATATCACTTACCTGAAGTTAATTGTAGTAATTTTTGTGTAAACCAAAAGAGAAGGGATTTTTTTGGGGAGTGGTACATGCCGAAAATATGTTTTAATTTTTAGTAATTCAGTTGTTATCAGTTGTCTGGCTTATGATGCTGGAAGTTGGGAATGCCATATTTAATTGAAGTGGTGCGCTTTTGGCTAGTAAGGCAAAATTATTGAGTGGAAATCATTACCCTCTGACAAGTGCAAAAACACTTAAAGAAGGCTTGAATAGAGCTTTATTTTATATTTTTATTATTCTTTTGCTTTGATTTTTTATTGTTATTATGCTTGTATTTTTTGTTATTTTTCTTATGGTGATGGTTTTGTTTTTGTTTAATTATTTTGTTTTATTGTAAGTGCATTGAACAAATATTTTTTTTGATGTTACTAATAAATTCAATTTATGGAATGATATAATGAAAATTATTTTTTTTTTTTTAATTTATTTTTTATTACTATTATTATTGTTATCATCATTACTGAAGTGAGTGAAACATTTTGCAGGCTTGAGTATGAGTACTCAGTGTCCTGGTCTGTTGGTCTCAGCCTCAACTGAAGGTGTGATGAAGATCTGGGATGTAACAGACCATCCGGATGCAAAGGGCCCCAAACTAGTTAATGAGAGGAACCTTGGACTAGGTGCCGTTCATTGCTTAGAGGGGAGCCCAAATTCACCTTTTGTTTTTTGTGCTGGTGGAGACCAAAGGGACAACAATTTTAAAGTAATGGACATTAGATACAATGATGTAGCAGGTATGTGTTATTAATTTGTTTTCAATCTGTAACATATGTGTGCCAACTGTGAGTATACGAAAATCGACACCAATTGAAGTGTCTGATTTCGGGAAGGTCTCTGGGCATCACTTTTCTTATCTTTTTGCACTCCTCCCTGCGCTGCCTTTAGAAACATAATCTTTAGCCAGAGTTGCATTAACCAATGCCTTGCAAGATGTGATTATTTACCATAATAGTATAATTTCTTTATACCAAACTTATCTGTACTGAAGCCTTGCAGTGTATTCTACAGTAACAAAAGTTTACATTTGCTGCTAAAAATCCTAACTCCTACAAAGTTTTTGATCATCAAAAATTGTAATTCAAAATTTATTAGTGGGCTGAAAAATTTGGAAAACTTGAAGGAAAAATTAGAGAGGCGGGAAAAAAGCAGAAATCATTGAAGGTCTGTTGGAAAAAGTAATATTGTAGTGTGCGAATTGTAATGTTTGTTCATTTCTGACTCAAAAACTAAGAATAGTTCATTATTAATATTTAATTATTTGTGTTTTGATCTGTAAATGCCTTTATATTGTGTATGTTACTGATGTAATCAAGGCTTCTTTTTCTTTTTTGTTCAAGTGAACTCAGCTTGCTAACTTTTGATGTTTTGATGGCACTGTTAGGCATCACAGGAACCTTAGATTATATATTACTCACAACATTTGACATTACAATATATGAGTAAAGAAATTGAAAAGGCTACTCAGGAATCCTGTGGTGAACAATTGTTGCACCTCATAAATATTGTTTGAAGCAAGTACCATTAAAATGATATGTAAATCATTGAAATCAGTAAAAAATACATTAAAAAGAAGTAAAAAGGTAAAAATTGACTTGATAGTCAACAAAAAATGCTAGAAAATGACATAAAAATGGGTCATTTAGTTTCGTCATAACATGAAATGAATTTCTATATTAAACTGATTGCGTTGTTCTAAAGGGAAAAGGTTAAAAATTACATTTCATTAAGATCCACCTCCTACTTATTACATTCTGTAATTTATAACGTCTTGAAAATAACCTTTCAATATGTTGAAGTGAATGAATATATTCAATATGAAAAACATGAAATTTTTTGTCCACAATATATTGGTGGTTGGTAATATATTGATATTGGTAGCTCTTCGTTGCTAATTTTTGTACCTTGAAGGCCTTCCTTTGGATTAGAGAATAGGTAATTGTTGCAACTGAGTGTTACTGAGTTGCGACTCAGAAGGTGGTGTAGTACTTTTTCTTCTCTACTGAATTCCTTCCATTGAAACCAATCAGCAATATTGCTTTTGAAAACAAAAAAATACTGATAATAATTAAATAACTTTTTTTTGATTTAGCCCAAACAGGATAGTTTTCCATTCATTTTACGCATTATTTAAATGTTGTTTAAAGTAACTTGGACTTTGGCCTTTGTTAGATTCAATACTGTATACTCTCTTGAACATTGTACAAAATGGCACGACACAATAAACCTGCTAAATGGCTGAGTTAAAATTCGTTAGTGACAAATGCTCAACAAAAAAGGTGGCACTACTATTACAATGCTTAGTTCTATGAGCATTAGTATTATTTTTGTGCCATGTTTATTGGAAGATAAATTGGGCTGAAAAATTGGTGAAACCTATGCACTTGGAAATAGAAATGGCTCTAGCATTTGTATGCAAACAAAGTTTTGTGTTAATATTGTACTTGTATAGTTGATTCAGAATAAATGTTACACAAGGTCGTGGGGATGGAAATGATTGATTTTTACCAGTGAACTTACAAGGGGAAATTGTAACAAGCTTCTATGCAATTATACAGGGTCATTAGCTTAACTCGCAACCCATGTCTGAGAGCACTTGTTCTTCTTTTGGCAATTCGGCAAGTGTCATTTTGTCACCTTTCAAGACAGCCATGCCTCGCACGTCAACACTGCAGAGGAGGTGACCATCAGGTCATAAGCTGTAGCAACTTCCCTGTTTCTGTGTTTTTTCCATTCAAGAGCATAGGTGGGCAGGTACACGTCTCGCACGCCAGAAGCTTTTTGCGCTGCACAGAGTGAGTGGGTGGGGAGGGGTGAGCAGAAACATGAGCAAGGAACAAAACTGCTCTATAGGCGATTCTGTCCAGTATGCTTAAGAAACAAAACTAGTACTGAAGATGTGAAGGGAAATTATGATTGTTTATCAATTTATTAACATCAACGTAACAATAATTATTATTTAATGAAAGTTGCTCCAGAGAAAAAAAAGAAAGATATCTCATGAAACGTTACTGCCAAGCTCTTCATTATTTATAACAATAATGTCTTATTATTATTATTGAATCTGGTTACTAAGCATATAAGAAAGTCTTAATAAAATTATTAAAAGTACCAATAAAACATAAATCAGTAGTTATTAATTATTATTGAAAATAATTAATGGAAAATAATAAAATATAATTTTCTTAAAATGACAAAAAATTGACTGTCAAGTACATGCTCAGACACCACCATTTGCTAAGAGTCCGGCTTCACTCTTTTCAGTGTAGTGGCTGCAGTATGTTGAAGATTAACGAGGACAGAATAAGTGTTTTCTGCTAAAAGTGAAAGGGATGCCAAAAGTACAATTTCATGCCCTGCCAAATTGCCAAAACATGAAGTAGTGATTTCAGACATGAGTTGCGAGTTAAGCTAAAGGGCCTGTACATATGATATTTGCTCCTGTTTGTGTGGCAACCCTATATGCCCAGATTTTTAATTCATGAAAAATTTTGTCTGAAAAATTGTCTGTGTCAGAATGTGACCTGACAAACATTTATGCATGAAGATTTGCTTAAAAATTAAGGAGAAATGTCACATGTGTAAATCCATTTCATGAAATGTCTCAGTCCATTATTGTTGGTAAAAGGGGATTTTTTGTAAGCCCGCTACATGCCCTAGAAGTTTCTAACATTTATTTTGAGGCATCTGTAAATAATGTGCATGTGTTTGTGACTGTTGTGTTGATATTCCATTTGAATTGAATAGGTGCATTCTTGTTTGCAGTGGAACAGCACTTTTCATCTCGAGAATTGCTCTGCATTAAGACTGAGGCAGATGACCAGCCATCTACATCTGAACCTATGGACACAACGTGTGAAGCTGCAGAAGCCCTTCAGTCTCTTTCTTTGAAAGGCAGGCATAAAAAAAATAAAAAAAACAATATTGTAAAGTAATGTGAATAATTAGGTTTCAATATATTTTAAAATTGAGAAGTTTGTTATTTAATTTAAATGTTTATTTATTTTCTTTATCTATGATACATGGATCATGTACTACATTGGTTAATATTTTCAATACACTTCTTAAAATGGCCTTAATAAGAAGAGAAGATTAAAGGAGATTATCATTTGGTAAATTAGCATTTACAATGACAAACGGAGGGAATCCCAAATGCTTTTGGCAGTTTCAACTCTATGTAATGCTATTTAATATTTAGCACCGTTATAAATGCAAATAGCATGGAGTTCCAAAAAAAATTAGCTCAAAATGTCTGATAAGTGTACAATTACCTTTGTATGTTGAAGTAATTAGTAAGTAATCAGATGTGCTTTCATAGTGGAGATTTTTTACTGATTTCAAGATGAAAAGAATTAATCACTGGTGATTTGTAAAATGTACAGTATATTAAAAAAATGAAATATAATTAATACATGTTCAGAAACATGGCTATAACGGGATATGATATTGAAGATACTTCCTGGTCCAAATTACCCTTCAATATCGTTGCTATATTGACTCGGTATTGACTTTCTCACATACTACTTGGTGTAGAGAGAGAAGGGTTTATAATGTTGCACAAAAAAAGGTGATTTTTCAATAGAAAGACTCATATAGTGGAGCCCTGACACTGAAAAAGTGAATGAAGCTTGTGAATATAAAGTGAATTCCTTCTTCTAACATTGTGTATTGAGAATCCATGTTTTTTGGGATCCTTAACACCCAGAAATTGGCTGTTGGAAACACATCCGTCTGTCCATCTGCAATGCTAGAGTGTAAACCATTCAGAAGATTTTCTCCATAGTTCATCCCATCAATCTAGCCGAACTCAAGAATTGTGGTTTTGAAAATTTTAAAATTTTTTTATACTTCTACGTGAAGATTTTCAAAATTTTTTCAACAATGCCTCCAAATTTTTTCATTACATTTTTTTCCTTTGATAGAGCAAAAGACCCTTAAATGATATCACAGGTCTCATTTTAATTGAACATACTGAATTTTTGGGAAAGTTGCAAAAGTTTACAATCTTTTGAGTGTATTACTACAACTACAATATTGAAGATAAACATTTTTTTAAATGATACCTGTTCTTCCAAACTAGCTTTTTAAATTACATCATATAGGTCATGTTTGTTACATGCATATACAGAAATAAAATGTGCAAGACAGCAATAATGCTTGGTTTATGTGCACTTATTAATATAACAAAAGTTGTAGCTTTAGGCTACATTTCAGTTAATTTGTTTGATTAATTTATTGTCTTTAATAAAGCAGTGTCTAAGAAGAGCAGAAAAGCAGCAACGATTTGTTTGATAACCTTGAATCTGAATTAAGATTTCCCAGTGCTTCGATGTTTAGGAAGGTTGTGCAATGAAATTTAACAGGCAATAGAGGGGTGAAGTGTTTGCAAACACCTGGAAATAATAAAGAATATCATAGAGGCATGTTCATCATCATTATTATCAATAATGATGTGAAGGAAAGCAGCTGGTGAATTGGCTCCCATTTGTGTGACCTACAAAGCTAAAGTAGTGTATCACAAATGAGTGGAAGGAGACCCTAAAAAACATGCTACAATTGATCCACCAGTGAATCAATTTGGTTTGATACTCTTACATTTCAGTATTCGTTTGGATTTCTTTTAATCACCTGTCAAGGATGGCTCGACAATGAGAGCTCCAGAACCCCCACATAGTTTATTTCTCTGAAATATTTTTTCTCAAGGCTTTTTTTTCTATCGAGAGTTCGATGGCAGGATTTTTGTACTAGCTACATAGCTAGGTTGGACTTGGCCACTGTCTGGCGAAAAATTCTAGTGGTCGGCTGCTTTAAGCAGTAGTTTTCCGTGATTTCTTCAATCAACACAAGGTGAATGCTGCAGAAGTATCCTAACAAATGGGCCACAGTCCGAGCACAATGTTTCCTTCCTCTTCTTTGTGCTACCCCCACTCTTGCATACATACACACTTACCATGCACGTCTTCCACACACGTCAGTGATGAGTAGTCAAAATGAGGAGTTGAAAGCAAAATTATTTCTAAATATCCCAAAGCAAGTTTCTTACACTGCTGTGCTTATCGATTAAAAATAATAATGCAACAGTCTTGTTCCGAGAATGAACAGGTTGGCATATTCTTCGCAAATCTTCAAGAAATTGCTGCCTTTTTTTCTCATTCGCCTCAAAGAAATACAGTTGTGGACAAAATGATTAACAACAGAGTTCCTCACTTCGCACTAACACAGAATTTCAAAATCCGTTAGCATGTTGACTGTAAACATGTTTTTGAATAAAGAAAGCAACTCATAGAATGTGTGCTGGAGATTCAAGAAAAATTTACCCATGTAAATGCAATAAATCAAGCATTGGCAGAGTGAATGTTAGAAAATGAAGTATTTTTACTTTCTTGCTACTGCTTACGCAGTATAGAGATCATATTATAATGCTACCCAGGGTGGTGAATTTTTTACAGAAAATCTCTTACTAATGGGCCCTGGTAATAAAGTGGATAAATCTTGGCTCTATCTGCAGTACATTACTTACTCTAATAAGTGTAGTCAACGTATCTGTTTTGTGTGTCCTTGATATCGAATAATTCATTGGCACTTATGTAACTCTTTCACTTATGTAGCAAAGAATGGTAAAGAAAGTGGTGCTTGTCACATTTTTGGTGCACTTCTGTATTTTTGAAAATTCAAAAAACATTTGAAATGGCAATTTGAATTTTCTTTGCTTCATTGAAGCAGTGACATTGCTCTCTGATTAGTAAGCAGATAAATTACAGACCCAAAATATTTATGTAAAAATGAAAATGATAAATAACATAATAATTGTAGACTTATTATCCTATGTTTAAACTTGTTGTTGTTGTTGTTTTTTATTTTATTTTATTTTTTTTATTATAGGATTAGCACTAAGGTTTGGAAACTTGTACTGTATTTGCCTCAAATTTACACTGTCATTTGAATGTACAAAATGTGAAGGGACATGCTAGAAATGAATAATATTGAACTACTGTATCTATAAATTTGTTATACAGTAGAACCCCTCTTTTACCCTTTTCAAGGGACCAAGAAAAAACTGTGTAAATCGCAGGAAAGTGTAAACGGAGGGAAAATCCTATTGCACGTAAGGTAAAATACTGAAAATGTAGATCCTTTTTTAGTTAATATTTTCTACTTTAAAATTCAAGAATTCTAGTATTTTTACTTTCTCGCACTAATGAAGAGAAACGTGGGTCATCGTGCGAGGAAAACTACGAAATTTCGGCAGAACAACTTCTTTTGCCGAGCCCTTGCTGCGAGAAAGCGGTTACATCCTGTTGCCAATTTCAGTAATTTACTTCCTTTAACATGTGGAGTAGCAAGAATCCACGTTTTGTGGGCCCTTGATACAGAAAAATCTCTTTTACGACAAAACGTCTCTCTGTCTCTCTCTTTCTCTCCATCCATGGGCGATGCTAGCGCCTAAACTGTTCAGCCAAATTTCTCTGAAATTGATATCGCTTGATCGATCAGAATTTGTAGTCAAGAGTATAAATCTGGAAAAAAAATTGCATACCAAATCTGTGATGGTTTCAAAAAGTGTAAAATGGCTGCAAAAATTAATTTCGAAAGTGTAAAAACGAGGGTAATTTAAGTGTGAACATAGGAAACTTGAAGGGACCAGGGAAAGTAGGTGTTAAGTGTGGGAAAATGTGAAAGCGTCATTGTACTGTTATAGCATTTGTGTATAGAGCGGCAAAGACTTTTGATACCATTGTAGTTTTCTAATTTCTTTGGTTTTGGTTACCTTTTAGGATCTTGCCCCATTTTTTTGCCAGTGGTCATATATTGCTGACCAAAGTACCTTTATTTAGATTTTCTCAATGTTTGTTTCCTAATGGTAGATTTGAAATATTACTTTTAGAATATTCAAAAAGAGCAAAACCTCAACCTATATGGAAATTTTTGTTGAAAACTTTTCTAAAAAAATATTGTTTATGCGTTACTTTAAACGCAAAATTTGAAGTATTTTTGCAGAAATCATCTGAGTTTTTGAAAAACTTTATTGCTAGTCATTTAAAGCACTTTTATTTACAAATGCAGCAATGTATACAAATAGCTGGAAATGTGCATATTAAAGGCGTGAAAAATTTTTCAAAAAATACTTTTGTGTAATTTTTGAAAAAACAATATAGTACAGCAAAATGACTTATGTCATCTAATGCAGTGCATTTTGCTCTATCCATATGAAAGGTTTGAAGAAAAAATTTGGAGCCATTTATGAGACAATGGCCTTTGACCATTTCTGAAAACACAGAATTTTGAGCGCATTTTCACAGACATCTTCAGTTTTCGAGAAAGATTAACTTATAAGACATTATTTGAGCCACATGTTCTCATGAATGGAATAATCTAATCACCACCAATTTAAATATTAACGGTGTGAGAGAAAAGTCAAAAAATTAAATTTTTGTAATTTGTATGTTTGTGTCATATTATCCAGTACATTTATCACTATCCATATGAAAAGTTTAAAAAAAGAATTTGGAGCAGTTTTCAAGAAAATCTTGTTTTTGGTTTTTAATATTGCTTGACAACTACTACTTTTTTCAAAATAATGTACTTGACCTTAATAAAAGACTAAACTAAAGAAAAAAAACTTACTTGAAGGAAAAATTTATCTTCAGTTTTGTAATAGGAATAAGCCAATAAAAATTAAAATTTTTTAAATTATCCAAAATTCAGAGTTAACAGAGAAAAATGTATGCCATATTTATGTGTTTTTTACTCTATTCTTTCAAAGAATTATAGAAAACAATTTGGAGTTATTTTTGAGAAAATGTTGAAAGTGTTGCTGTGGCTTCATGCGTCTCAAAAAATTAATGAATGTTTTTCAAAATCGCAGAGTATTGACTCAGGTCAGGTCGACAAGGGTGTATTCAGTTTGGAAAATATCTTGCGTACTGTGTAGGCTGATGTTATTCACACCAGACTGACAGATGTTTTGCCGGTTACAGAAGTGGAAAAATCTGGGAAGATTAAGAAGAATAATGATTAGGGTGCGGATAATTATGTAACATATTTTCCAAAGGTGTGTCTGTCAAGTCGAATCATCAGTATATTCAGGTTTCATATCAGTTAGTGCCAAAAAACATTGACTTTTTAGTACATATTTTACCCAAAAGTACATATATTTATGCATTTTACCCAAATCCATTTTTACATATTACTGAATGTTTCCATTTTCTTACAATTTTTTAAATTTATTTCATTTTTCCTGTATGTTTGTAATAAGGAATCGCCCAGACCAATCATTCAGCCTCGTCGAACTGTAGCCTCATCTTTAAAATGCCGCTATTGCATCGTGTTGAAATCAGTTTGTCCATGAATACTGATGGTATTGCAAATAAAAGGGCAAGCGACAATGCAGTTAATAGCTTCCGATGTGTTTCAGTGAGAGAGTCGCGAGAACAGAAAAGAAGTTAAGTTTGTGGAAACAATTCATTCAGTAGGCGAAATCGCGCATCCACTTCGCATCTATCAGAAGTCTCCCTTGACCTTGATACTGCATCAGAAACTACTTGCACCAACTCAGGAAGGATCGTTCGCATTTTTCTTTCCTGATTGTCACACGCGAACCTCCGCCGACACAAACCAGAAGCCCTGCAGTTGTTGATTCCAAAATTACTTCTTCTAACCTATCGTATGCATGCGTTGTGTTGCAGAACTGATTAGACCTTAGTTTGATAAAGTTGATGCATTGATTTCCAATACAAAAAAGGATTAACGAGATGGGGCTCCTGGACTGATGCTATGAGCTACAATGCTAAAAATTTTGACTGTAATACCAGTTATACATCAATTTCATTCAAAAGTTGCAGCATCCATAGGCATATCAAAGCAATTTATACCCAAAAGCTGAAAAATTATTGTATATTGCCCCATTTTTCACTAAGCACCTACAAATCTTCACTCCAACTGGCAATCCATAGTAAATATTAAGTTTCTATTTTTGTTGGGCATCACTGAGTGGTGGGTCGTAGTTCTTAGTTCGCCAAAATATCGTCTAGTTTTCGTCACTAGTTTATCGTTAAATTTCACTTCTACTTTTCTGGCTGGATAATTCTATTGCAACCTTTTTTTAAAAAAAATCCGGAATTTCAACGAACATGAGACCTGCACCAAAGCTTCCTTTCACATAAGCTGCTCTTAAACGTCCTTTCCACTGTCCGAAGACAAGGTTTAATAAAAAATAGGAGCTATTTTTGAGAGAATTTTAAGAATGTTTTTGAAGCTTCACGTAAAGTACCTTCAAAAATTAAAATATCCTGTTGAAACTCCAAGTTCGCTCTGATTGCTCGGGGAATATAAATTTGGAGAAAATCGGCTGAACGGTTTGAGTTCTAGTGTGACCACAAAAGTACGGACGAACACTCGCCGTCAATCTATTTTTTCGATGTCAAGGACCCACAAAACACGGATTTTGGCTACATCACGAGTTAGAGGAAGTAATTTACAATATATAGCAACTGAATGTATCCACTTTTTTTCTCACTCAGGGTCCAACATGAGTTTTTCTGCTGAAAATTCCCTGTTTTCCAGTGCACTATTACATAACTTACAAAACGGCTCTTCATTCATTTTTCTGTGATTTCAACAGACTCGGTTTTGGATAAGACTTTTTTCGCTATGAATTTGGGTCTAAAATAGGCCTCTAGGGGCCGCCGGCCTTGGTTTTGTCAGTCCCTATGGAACTTACACCGCTGACGTTCCCAGAGTAGCGCTGAAACTAGGGTTACGATTAGAAAAATATGCAGATTCTATTTGCAATTGGCGGATCTCTTGTCTGAGTTTCTATCAACGGGCATTAAGTGCCGCCAAATTACTGAAACTCAACTGGTCTAATACTAAAAAAACGATTTGAGGGCTTATAAGAAATGCGCCGATGACGAGGTAGACGCCTGGGGGAAGCTGGGATCCCAAGGGAGAGCGGTTAAGGCGCATATAAACGATCCAATTGGAAATGCCTTTTTGAAATATTATAACCTTCTGAAACCTGCTTTTTGTCACTGCACTTCAATTGAGAACAATACCGCTTTCTCTATTCTTTTGTTTTTCAAGAATTATAAAAATTTAATTTTTTTGACTTGTCTCTCAAGTTCTATATGTTTACGTTAGTAGCACTTAGTTTACTTTATTATATTTATGAGTGCATGTGCTGTAAATAATGACATACAAGGTTTCTCGAACAAACTATTACAGATAATGTAAAATGGCGCTGGCTGAACTCAGATCATGTTGCAATTTATTTTATTCGTTTTAATGTTGTTACTAAAATATTTTTTCTTGAAAGTTTTTCATGACAAGTTAAAATTAATATGTAGTTACTGAAGCATTTTGCGAGGGGAAATCTCTCTCCCCGTGGATCCGCGCATGATTAACACTACATTTAATGAAAGTATGTATTGAAACATTGTAGCAAACATTGTATTGCTGAAATGTAGTTTGTAGTATTTCGAAAAGTTCACCACCCTGAATATATTTCAATATCGAAAGATTCTCCACACACTCGTATTCACAACGCTCACTGATCGTCACTGCCGCCGGAAGATGCTCATAGCTGTGAGGGACTTTAGGCCGGTTCACTAACCAAAGGGGTAAGAAGTTTGACCTCTGGAGTAAAATCACTGGTTTACATGTCGAGATAATTCTTGGAGTCGTGTCCGACCAACACTTTACTGGAGTGTTGAATATCGTTTTAGCACGAGAGTAAATTCGGAGGTAGCTTTACAGCCGGCGAAATCCGTCGGGTAAAGTACGGAGTAATTCAGTTTCAACGTGCATGGTATCGTCCGAAGTGTTGTACGACGTTCGACGATTTACGGAATGATAGCAGTTTGTAGACGATTTCCCAATGATTCGCG